TTCTTTCTTTCTTTCTTTCTTTCTTTCTTTCTTTCTTCCTTTCTTCCTTCCTTCCTTCCTTCCTTCCTTCCTTCCTTCCTTCCTTTCTCTCTCTCTCTCTCTCTCTCTCTCTCTCTCTCTCTCTCTCTCTCCTCTCTCTCCTCTCTCTCTTTCTTTCTTTCTTTTTGGTTTTTCGAGACAGGGTTTTTCTGTGTAGCTTTGCGCCTTTCCTGGATCTGCTCCATAGACCAGGCTAGCCTCGAACTCACAAAGATCTGCCTGCCTCTGCCTCCCAAGTGCTGGGATTAAAGGCATGCACCACCACCGCCGCCCGGCTTTGTCAAATTTCTAGACCAAGATAAATTCTCAACATTTAAAGACACAAGATTCCTCAGAACCCACAGTGGTTGGAGGCATAATTGCACACACCTCTTGTTCTGGCTACATTTCTGTCCTGGCTCTCACCTCTTTTTTTCTTTGAACTCTGTGGGGTAAAGCAGGAACCTCTGAAAGAAGATTCTAAAGGGATGGTTTCCTTTACCTTTCAGTGTATTGAAGAAAAATTAATCTTGTAAGTGGCCATCTCTATACATCTAGTGCAGGGCTTCACTTAACCATGTCCACAAACACATACATTGTATTTACTAAGTGGCAATAAATCCTTGTCTGTGTATCAGGAGATGGGACTGTATACACTCCAGGTCAGCACCAGGCTTTCTGGTAAGAGATTTGTAAGGAGAGGATCAGAGAGGGTCACATTGACTGGTGCAGATAAAGGAGGAAGTAGAGAGGCAGAGACATGAGTAGCTTAATGCTTTTAACATGAAAATGTGATTTTTGTCCTGGGAAAGAAAGGGGTGGATAGAATAGGTTACACAAGGCTGTTGGAAGGAAACACTTTCTTTCTGCTCTTCAGGAAAAGGAAATAACAACCCTGCATCTGAAATTTGTCACTTGGGATGAAATTATAGAGTAGAGGTATGACAAAATGCTCCTTTAGGCATGTCGCTCAACTTCTGTCCCTATTTCTCTCCTGTGTTGTTTTCCCTTATCATGGAGGTCACTGTTGATGTCTGCACAGCGTCCATGCTGATTTTCCCTTTCTTACTTGTCCCCCTTTTCATCATCCCAATCACACAGGTATCTGAGCAGGAGTGTCAGGAGTCAGGACAGACAGACAGAGGATCACAGCAACAATGGACTCATCAGTCATGTTCATGATGGAGGAGGAGGTGACCTGTCCTATCTGCCTGGAGCTCCTGAATGAACCTGTGAGTGCTGATTGTGACCACAGCTTCTGCCGAGCCTGCATCACACTGAACTATGAGTCCAGCAAAAGCAAAGAAGGGGAGGGTGTCTGCCCTGTGTGCCGAGTGAGTTACCTGTTTGGGAATCTGAGGCCTAATCGACATGTGGCCAACATAGTGGAGAGGCTCAAGGGGCTCAAGTCCAACCTAAAGAAGCAGCAGAAGGTGAATGTCTGTGCACAACATGGAGAGAAACTCCAGCTCTTCTGTGAGAAGGACATGGTGGCCATCTGCTGGCTTTGTGAGCGGTCTCAGGAGCACCGTGGCCACGTAACAGCTCTCATTGAAGAAGTGGCCTATAAGTATGAGGTAAGAAGTGGGAGGGTGTGGGAGGGACACAGAGCAGGAGACACTAACAGACAGGAAATCTCCACTTGGTGTGACAGGTCAATAATCTGGACATCATAGACTCAAGACTTGATATATCATTCCATCCTACCTTTAGAGTCCTAAAAACACATGATGTTTTATTCCACTTAATAGTGTGAGAATCTGCCTAGACTACATATACTAGGATAATAAAAAAAGTCTTAGAACTGTCTGTATGAAGTTGTTTCAGTGACCAAGAAAAGCCAAGCGCAGAACTCCTAATTTATTCCATATTCATGTTCTTTCAATGTTTATATCAGATTCATTCATACTACCTATGCTGTGAACCACAGAAATATGAAGGAGAAATTCAGCTGAAAATGGCAAAAGCTCTTCTCTGGGAGAGTTAAGTACTCTTCCAGAGGTTAAAGCCAAAACTCTAGGAGTCTTGGTGATATTGGCTTTTGAATATGTTAGCTGTTTCTTGCAATACATTTCTTGTGTGCTATTGTAGCTTTCCCATTTGATTCTTTTCCCAAGAACTTCTAACAGTGAGGTTGATCATTCGTTGGGCACAATTTTCCCCTATACAGTTGCGGTATTTGGATAACATTTCCAGACCTTTGTTCCTTCTTTTTAGCATTAGACTCAGAAGTCTGCCTTTCTGTAATTATCTCCATTAGCAAGCATCTGGCTAGGGCCATCTCTGGATATAAGTTTTTTATCTGAGATACTTCTCAAATATCCAAGGACAGACTGCAGACAGATAAGCATTCAGACCATGTGTTAGTCTACTAAAAATCAGGTAAATATCCATACTGAGACAACTGCCAAGGCCATGCAGATGTTAGGTACAAAGCTTTGTTTCTTGTGCAAATTAAGCTTGACCCTCCTTTCTCCCACAGCCCTACTGGTATCCCTAGTTCTAAAAAGATACCCCCTTTAGCAATAAACTCAGAACAAAAGGGTTTTTATATACCAGGTGCAGCACTCTGAGGCAGGCTACCTAGCTACTGGGTACACTTCCCCCACCTTGCCCAAAAACATTGCAGCCCAGATAAACTGAGACTGATATGGCTCGCAAGAAAAAAAGGCAGTTTTATATCACTCATGACTTAGTGACATATAGACTCTTACCATTTTAACTAACCACTTCTAAAAATATAGTTTGAGCACATGAATTATCTTTTTTACATCTCTTAACCGATTTCAGCATTTAGTTGACCCCACCCTCTTTAATCACTCCCCTTTTGGATTGTAAATGAAGCTGACAATCACTGCTCTTTGTGAGGATCTTATCACCTCTCTTCTTGACCCTGAAAGAGTTCAAGCCTTGTGACCTTGTTTTGGCCAGAGAATTGATGATTGTATGGGTAAATAGCTGGAAACCTCAGAGACTTGGGAGAGCTAAAACTGGGAGAAGGGCCGGGCGGTGGTGGCACACGCCTTTAATCCCAGCTCTCGGGAGGCAGAGGCAGGTGGATCTCTGTGAGTTCGAGGCCAGCCTGGTCTCCAAAGCGAGTTCCAGGAAAGGCCCAAAGCTACACAGAAAAACCCTGTCTCAAAAAACCAAAATAAATAAATAAATAAATAAAACAAACAAAACAAAGGTTGGGAGAAGGAAGATAGAGCTGAGAGAGTACAGCAGAACAATGTAGAGAGAATCAGGCAAGAAAGGAGCTAAGTATGAGAACAGAAAATGAATCAATGTAGAGAGAGAACTGACTCAGAAGAATAAAGTGAATGGACTAAAAGTTTTGTGTGCGTAGATTCATTTGACATCCCTCAGATTAATCCTCACCACTGGTAGCATTTCTTCCAGAACTTTGGGAAAAGACTATAAGGGGCTGGACCCCAGTAGTCTTTGTTATACCTAAAATCCAGTCTAGAGATATCAACAGAGGGGTTAGTAAGTAAATGACAGACAGCAGTGAAGAGACCGTGCATGTGGCAGTTGAAACATCTGGGAAGAGGGAAAATAATTCCATAATGAGATCTACAGACATAAATTCTGTGTTGGATCTTTGTTTTCTGTAGTTTGTTTTGAGCCCACATACAAACTCAAAGAGACTATTGTAGCATGCACAGGGCCTGCAGGGGTCTGCACCAGATGGCATCCTAGAGCTGGAAGGAGAAGTGGACACATGCCCCCACCTCTAACCCAGAAGCAATCTCCAATGAAAAATTACTTTTCTCCCAGAAAGTCTCACTGGAGAAACAATTCATTTACTTGTAAGGACAGGTCGCATGCCAGCAGTAGATGGATGACCAACACAGAAGGAATTGAACCCATACTTGGAGATTCTTTCTCTCATATCATTAAGTCGGGTTTTTTGTTTGTTTGTTTGTTTTGTTTTTTTGTTTTTGTTTTTTTTCCTGCTTTACCAGTCCTTTACATTTATATTAAGGCTTAGGATTTTAATGAGATTCCTGTGTGTTGGAAACCTGTGTGTCTCTGCATCTATATGTATTCCTTGTGATTTTTCTTCAGCTCTTTTTCTGAGTTCTTTATTTTGTCATATTTCAATGTGCTTGTTTTTTTATTACTCTGATTGTATTTTCTATTATGTTTTTAGCTGGAGAGCTTCTCTCCAGGTCCCACCAAGCCCCTGCAGTCCCACAACTCACGTGTAAACTGTATGGCCGTTGCAGGCTTCTTGTTATCTACTTCTTCTATCTTTTTTTTTTCAGAGCTGAGACCCGAACCCAGGGCCTTGTGCTTGCTAGGCAAGCACTCTACCACTGAGCTAAATCCCCAACCCTAACTTCTTCTCTTTTAAATTAACCCATTTCTATTAATCTATACTTTGCCAGTGGCTTGTGGCTTACCGGTACCTTACATCTTCCTTGTCATGGCGGCAGCTGGCAGGTCTCTTCCCTCAGCCTTCCACTTCCCCAATTCTCTTCTCTTTGTCCCGCCTATACTTCCTGCCTGGCTACTGGCCAATCAGTGTTTTATTTATTACCCAATCAAGCAACACACGTAACATACAGAACATCCCACAGCAATGTCACTATTCCTTAGATGCCTGTTTGGATTCTAACAGGGACAGAAAAGGTGTGGATCTGTATGGAAAGGGAGGTGGAGAAGAGCTGGGAGGATTTGGGTCAGGAGAATCTGTAATCATAATATATTGTGTTGCAATAATGTCCGCGTTACCGATACCCGTTCACCATGTCCAAGCGAGGGGCTGCGGATTAGAAAATAAGAGACATTTGAAAATAAGAGTCATTTGCCACAGCTGAATGCCAAATGCCAAATGCCATTATTGAAAGAGGGAGGAAACCTTAAATACAGGCTTACAGCACAATGGAGTATCTCTGGAGGGTAGAAGTTCGCTAGGGAATGTTCTACATTCTTGCATCAAGCTGTTTACACCAAATGCAGGATACAGGAACAAAGAACCTCCAGTGGTCTCTCTGGTGATGGTTAGGTGAGAAGGAAACCGGCAGGGAATCTGAATAGGGAGGACTTCTGGTCAAGGTCGGCAAGCAAGGCAGCAGCCACTCACAGTCGGGGGCCGGGGCCCACAATATTGTTTGAAAAAAATATTGTCAGTGGAAGAAAGAAATATTAACCCAAAAAAAAAAATACAATTAAAAAAAAAAAGGACTAGAGAGATGGCTTAGTGATTAAGAGCACTGTCTTTCAGAAGACCGAGGTTCAATTTCCAGCATGTACATGGCACCTCACATCTGTGTATAACTATAGTTCCAGGAGATCCTATACCTTCACACAGATATACAGACAAAACACCAATGCACATGAAATTTTTAAAAAAAGAAGAAGAGGAAATAAAAGACAAAAGAATGTGCATGTGGACCGTGTGGTGGTATATGACTTAGTCTCAGACTCTGGGAGCTGAGGCAGGTGGATCTCTGAGTTTGAGAATATATTGGTCTACATGAGAATTCCAGGTCAGCCAGGCTACATAGGAAGACCCAATTTTTTAAAAAATGCAGGTATCTAATAGGACATTACAGGGGCTTGTGCTATATGTGTATATTTATAGGAAATACTAGAAAAACTAACACAATTATCCCAGTTTTCTGATGCCAGAATCAAAGTAAAGGTTTGTGCTTGGGGTGATTGAATAAGGGGAATGTCTGTGTCTTTGTCTCTATAGAGGTTGTATGTGTATAAATACAAGATTGAGCTGGAGACTGAAGACTTCTATACTTTATGTACATAAATCATAGAACAACTTTGATAAAAGGGAACAGTCTTAGGGTTCCTGTTTTTCCAGAAGGGTTTCCTGGTATTTGGTTAGAAACAACTGTCCTACTAAGCACACAGCTTAACACTTCTACAATTTCTCTCCCACAGGAGAAGCTCCAGGCAGCTCTGCAGATGCAGATGGCAAATGAGAAAAGATGTGATGAGTGGGAAGATGGCCTTCAAAAGGAGAGAACTTTCTGGAAGGCAAGTAGGGACCCTAAATCCTAAGGGAGTTAGGCTGATGCCTGGGAGGGACCTGGGCAAGAAGCTCCCTGGCTCTTCATTCTCTGATATTTGAGGAGGACAAGAGGCCTTTTTTGTTTTGTTTCTTTGTTTGTTTATTTACAGAGCTGAGGACTGAACCCAGGGCCTTACGCTTGCTAGGCAAGCCTCTACCACTGAGCTAAATCCCCTACCCCAATTTTTTTTTTTTTTTTTGAGACAGGGTTTCTCTGTGTAATAGTCTTGGCTGTCCTGGAACTTTCTTTGTAGACCAGGATGGCCTCCAAAACACTGAGATCTTCCTGCCTCTGCCTCTGCCTCCCAATAGATAGGTTTAGAGGTGTGCACCACCACAGCCCAGCAGGACAAGAGGCCTTGATTAGCCCTCTCTACCTGTTCCTTGGAGCTGGGGCTGCACACTGAGAGCATCACAACTGAACCTGGCTATGTGGGGAGCTGACACCATGGAGGGGGTCTGGTGAGAGTGGGCACTGAGTCCTGGATCTCACTCCTGTGGTGCTATCTGCAGCTATGACTGCTGGGGAAGATGCTTGGGAACATCACAGTTCTTCTATTCTTGGGGTTTAGCTTCTCCCATGGGTTCAGAGGTAGAATGAGGAGATTTACAGGCAGGAAAAAGAGTCTGGGTCAGCTGTGTGAAAACTGATTCACACTAAGGCATCCCACTATGGCTCAGATGGCCTTGATAAAGGTGACCTAAGATCTTTGTTTTGGAATGTCATCAACAGACACTGAGAGGAGACACATGCTTCCCTAAGACTCCCTTCCCTTCCCAAGCTCAGTTCCCTGTGAGAACTCCCCATCAGAACTGTGTTTTTCTGTCTTCCAGCCCCATTAGGATAGTCTGAATTCCTCTCCCTTTTTTTATCCCTGAAGAACCAAATACAGGGTGATGTAGAAAAAGTTCAGATGGAGTTTAAAGGACTTCGGGAATTCCTGGACTCCAAGGAGAAGAATGAGGTGCAGAAGCTGAAGCAGGAGGAGGAAGACATTATGAACAGCTTGGCAGAGTCTGAAAGTGAGCTGGTGAAGCAGAGGGAGTCAGTGAGAGCCCTCATCTCAGATCTGGAGCATCAGTTGCAGTGCTCAACCATGGAAATGCTGCAGGTAAGACTGCAGGAGGTCCCAGCATCAGGAGACCTGGAAGCCATTTCCCTCCCTCTGAGCTGCTGTGACCTTCCTGGTGGGGACAGTAGGGCTCTCTGGGCCCTCCCTGAACTGCCCTAAATCAGTTTCAGAGTCTGGGGAATCATTGTGTGCATGGATAGCAAGGAGAAATTGCTTTTTTTAGTTTATCAAGTATAGTATAGAAGCTGAACCTTAGAGAGAAGATCAGTTGCATCATGGGTAGTTATTACCCTCCTGTAATGCTAAGCATGTATGAAGCACATTTTCAACTGTCATTACTCACTTCACCTGAACTTGAAGTTAGTAGAAATTGTTCCTCCTGTCCAGTGTTTGGAGATCCACTTTTGTTGGTTTATGTTATATAAGACAAAGCCATGTATAGACAAGCGTGTACTGCCTGTGATCCCAGGACTTGAGAGCTTCTTATAAACAGAAACAAAAACCTGAGAAGCACAGAACACTGAATGAAATATAAGCTTCCCAACCTAGAGCCAGGCATGTTGGCTCACTCCTTCAATCTCAGCAGTTGGAATGGAGAATCAAATGAAGCTACATGGGTTATATAGTGTCTCTATAGTGAGTTCTAGGTCAGGAGGGTTACATAGTAAAACCCACAACTGGCAATTTTGGAGATAGTAAGAGACTTCAGAGTGTCCAGCCTTAAATGGAATGTATATACTGCACCTCTAATTTAAAGGCCCAGGGATCATTGCAGAAGAAGGACAGAAAGAGTGTAAGAGCCAGACATGGTGAAGGTTAAGAAAGAAAACTGTCTTCTGGACACAACTTAGCAGCAGCACATACAATCTGCAATTGGTTGTGATACCAAACCCAAGACCTTTGCATGCCTAAACCATACCAAATTCTACTATGGAAATTGGACTTTCTAAGGAAGTTCACCACACTACACTCAGAGCTCCTGGCAATTGTTTGCTGCTGGTACAAAGGAGGGTCACCTTTCTCAAAGAATGTAACTTTAGGTAAATCTACCAATATCCATTGCAACCCAAACATGCAAGAATACTTGCACAGTGTTAGGTCCTAAGCCCAGGACAAATGGCTAATCATGGTGCCTCCTTAACATATCAAAGTGGACCTGGCAGGTTAGGTAAGTCTTGATATGTGTTCCATATGAAAGAGCAAAATTAATATTGGAAATCAGGAAAAGGATATTTATTAATATGGCCGAATATCAAAGATGGACAAAGAGATATAAAAAACCCCTCTGTGCTGGGTGGTGGCGGTGCATGCCTTTCAAACCAGCACTCAGGAGGCAGAGGCAGGCAAATCTCTGAGTTGGTGACCAGCCTGGTCTACAGAGAGACTTCCAGGTCAGGTTCCAAGGCTATACAGAGAAACCCTATCTCGGGGGGGGGGGGGGGGAGGCCCTCTATCCATCTTCAGTTTCCCTAAGTGAGTTCAATATTTCAATTGAGAGTCAAGGATATATACACATGAGTAGTACAGGTTAAGGTGTGGTCCTGTCCATCATTCTCCTATAATTCATTATCTGGGTTACACTCTCATACTTTAAGGTGGCCTGATAAGTAACTAAAACTGCTTGAAATCTTTTTAAACAACTGTCCCTGTGGCCAGACCTGTTTTACTTCCCTGAGTGTGAGATTCCTGGAGAAATTCCCACATCTTTCAGGTCAGTTTTTCAACAGTTTGTCAAATTGAGAGACACAGACTCACTTCTTCTCCTGCCAGGACAGTTATAGAGAGAGAGGAAAAAAGACAGGCAGATATGGTTAGTTGGTTTTAAGTATCATACAATTTAAGCTTCTGGTCCTTGTGGCTTCTTCATTATTAATATGTTAAATTGTATCTAAATGACTAAAATAATTTAGCAATCATCTTCTCATAATGTTAGTTGCAAGTACAGTAATGAATAGCTTACATGCAGCATGAAAAGTTATTTATGTGTTTAGCTTTAAGTACAGCAAAACCTACATAAGCTTTCTTTTTTTTTTTGTTTTTTGTTTTTTGTTTTTTGGAGACAGGGTTTCTCTGTGCATCTTTACACCTTTCCTAGAACTCACTTGGTAGCCCAGGCTGGCCTCAAACTCACAGAGATCCACCTCGCTCTGCCTCCCGAGTGCTGGGATTAAAGGCGTGCGCCACCACCGCCCCGGCTTACATAAGCTTACATAACAATGTTTTGAAAGCTTATTTATTTGTCTTCTGTCTCCAAATCCTTATACTATGAGACAGAAAACAGTCCATTAGTTTTCATGTAAATCAAGTAAAGAGCCATGCATCATAATTGTATCATGTCGTGGAGAAGTGTGGTGACTGGCTTCATTCTGTTTTGACTTTGTCTCTGAGGGTGTGAGCAGGATTTGCAAGAACATGCAGAACATGTTATTTACTCTGTTTTCTCCCTTCTCCTTAGGGTGTGAATTCTGTCCTTAAAAGGTATGTCTGACTGATAGAGAAAGATAGCCCTATTGGGTGGTAAAAGTGATTTTAATATTCAACTAAAATAAATGTCATGGGTTTGGGGGAATTTAAACATACTATCCTGAACTTCTGGTAAAAAGGAGGAAGGGGAAGGGGGGAAAGTCAGGATCTGACTGTGGTGAATGGGGAGTTGCAGAATCAGGCTCAGCAGTGGGGTGAGGCAAAAGGAACTAAGGTACTTTCAGATTACTTGTGGTTCTGTCATTCTGTCCATGCTGTGTGCGTGTGTCTGGTTCTGGATCTGCATTAACAAGTACTTGATTCCTCAGTTCATCCTAGGTAGGGTATGTCTTCTCTGTCTGCAGTGTTCACAGACTTGTATATCGGAGGAACTTCCTGTGTATTAGTGTGTTTGTCATGAGGATAGAAGAGATCCAGAGGTCCTTTGTGGTTATAATTAGATTTTACAAAAACAGACTTGAGTCTCTGAGGACAATATTTGGCACAGGTGAGACACCTGCTCCATGTGGACCACATACTTTAGAAGACCTTGGAAAGTAGTACCCTAGTCTGTCAAGTGTCACTCCCAGGCTGTCAGCATCAGGCTGGTTCTGAACATGACGAGCTCATGTAATTATTAATTTGATGGTCCAAATTTGTCATTATAACAAAAGAACTTGAAGAATCAGAAGAATCATGATGCTGGCCGAGAGTGTCCATATTGACAGCAAGGTTTGAAGTCTTAGCTGTCTCCTGTGGTTTTCTCACGTTCTATACCCAAGAGGAGCTTCTGCACTCAGACTTTAGACCATGTCCTTGAAAACAAACATACCCACATCATTTTTCTTCCTTTCTTTCTGTTTTTGATCTTTTTTTCTTTTTTCTTTTTGTTTTTGTTTGTTTGTTTGTTTGTTTTGGTTTTTGAGACAGTATTACCCTATGCAGCTCTGGCTGTCTTGGATCTCACCCTATAGACCAGGCTGGCCTTGATCTCAGTGATCCTTCTGACTCTGGCTCCTATGTTTAGGGATTAAAGGCATGTGACACCGTGCCTGGCCCACACATTATTTTTTAGAAACCGTAGTTTGGGTTGTTTTAAAGTTCACTAATTCATCATTTCTTAAGAGTTCTGGGAGGAGAATCAGGCGAGCAAGTCTTTTGACTGTACAAGTGAGGAGTACTCTCCGCTTCTGAGAGTAAGGCTTTCCCAACATCACACAGCAAGTAAGTGGGAGGCTCATGGGTGTGTCTCTCATGTCTCCAGAGTTAGTAGTCAACCCTCTCTCCCCTTCTCAGAATTCTCAGGAGAGCTCCAGGACATCTATGGTTAGAATGATAGGGAGTCAGTGGTGGTCAGAGGTCACACTGTCTGAGATGTGGAGGTCAATGTTTTGTCCCTAGGAGTCAGACCTTAAGACTGAAACAACCTGAAATGATCCCAAGAAAACAGAGAAGGATCTTCAGAGCTCCAGATCTGAAAGGCATGCTGCAAGTGTTTCAAGGTGAGAACAGCTACATCCTGTGGGTAACTGTCAGATTCTAGGTGTGCTGGGGCTACACTCTCTGGGAAGTGAGTGATGTTTCTGAACATAGGTCGAGGGACTCAGAAGAATAGATCATGTATTCCAGTGATGCCATTATATTTAATGGAAATCATCATTCCTCCCATGTTATTATATCATAATTTCTAAACCTTCCCCTAATCTGGAGAGGAGATTGACATTAATGTTTTGATTCTTTTGCTTCCATTTCATGATGTGAATTTTCATCCTTTCAGGGCTCATGGATGCTCAACAATACTGGGGTAAGGAGAAATCACACCATCAGCCACTCCCTTCTTACTGTATTTCAGAGTTTTTTTTTTCTCTATTAACCCTCATGTGTCATGTTACTTCTCCCCATATACTTCTTCCAATCTGCCTCTTCTCAACTATAAACAAGGCTCCTCCAAGTTCCCTCTCACTGTCTCCTTAGACTTCTGCTCCTTATATCACTAATAAGACTACACTTTGCCTCTCTTGTGACTCTTATATGTCTCCTTTTTCTGTAGTTCATGTGACCCTGAATCAAGTCCACAATGAAAACATTGCTGTTAATGAGGACAAACGACAAATACAACATCAAAATAATTCTAGAAGAAATTTGCAAATTTCTGAGACCTATGGTTTGGGTGTCCTGGGATACCCAGCTTTGCACTCAGGGAAACATTACTGGGAAGTGGATGTGTCTAGAAATGATGCCTGGCTCCTGGGATTAAATGATGGAAAATGTGCTCAACCCCAACTTTGTGCACTGAATGAAAGTGGCATCAAAATCCAATTTAATCCTCCTGTTCAACAACATTCATATCGTCAGCCTTTATTTCCCCCTAGCCCTTTTAGTTATAAACTACATGAATATCAGCCTACATATGCAGTTAAAAATAATTCTGATTTGAAACAGCATGTGAATTATCAGCCTAAACATGGCTACTGGGTTATAGGGATGAAGAATGGGTCTGTATATAATGCCTTTGAAGAGTGTTCTGACACTCACAATGCCAGTGTCTTGGTCCTCTCTCTGACTGGTCGTCCCAGTCGTGTTGGAGTTTTCCTGGACAGAGAAGCTTGTACTCTCTCATTTTATGATGTTTCCAACCACGGAGTTCTCATCTATAGATTCTATGATCCTTCCTTCCCTGATGCAGTTTATCCATACTTTAATCCCATGTCATGTTCAGAGCCAATGACAGTATGTGGGCCACCCTCCTAAACCCTCACCCATATCTACACAGTGCCCCATGTCTGATGTATCTCATATGCCTGAGCTCCCTGGCATCGTCATAACTGTTTCTGCCTTTGCCCTTTCCTTGTTAATAAACTTCAGTTCTCAATACAAACCAGCATGGATTCGTTTCCTTGATCCAGTTGCTTGTCTGGTTACAAGGCAATAATTCATCATTTCCCATATTCCCAAAGAAAATGACTCTTTCCTCATTAGGTGAGGTGAAGCCTCTGCTAACCCCTTTCCTGTTTTGTGATGCCACAGAGGGAAGGCAGGGCCTTGTGCATGCTGAGGAGGTGGCTCTACCACTGAGTCACCTGTCCCAGCTCTGCCATGTCTGCACAAGCCCATGCCTTCTGCCACTGACAAGAGATGAAAGAAAGTTCTTCGCCAGGTTGTCTATTAGTTTGGAAAATTATATGCAGGAGTTTTTAGCCTAGGAATGAGCCCTTAGTGGTATGTCAGGTTAACCACAATGCTTTGCTTCATCCAAACTTAAGGAAACACCTGAAATGGTACCCACTAAAACTGTGTGTTCAGAGTACCTGGGTTCTGTTCCTACCACTCCACACAGCACTGTAACCCTGAATAACATCCTCAAAAGCCTATGCTTTATGGGGTTTTTGTTTTTGTTCTGATTTTTTGTTTGTTTGTTTGGTTTTCATTGTTAATTTTTACAATTTTACTGTACAGAGTGCACACATCCTGTAGGTCAATGTAAGAAAATAAATTTGAAATCTGTTACAAGGCTCTGAGGGTAAAAACATTTTCCTTCAGGCCCAGTGACCCAAGTTCAATCCCTTATACCACCTGGGAGAAGGAGGCAGCCAATCCTCCAGATTATTCTCTACCCCACCCACATGCTGCAGTACACCCAGGCCTAGACACACAAATGGAAAATGAGTTATGTAGTTTTTAAAAGACAAAGGTCAATGCATATAAAGCACCCACTGCACACTCAGAAGATGATGCTTCTGTTCATTACTGGGCAGATGTCCTTAGTCTGGTGTTCCATGTAAAAGTGGGCAGCTGGGAGAAACTAAGATTTGACTTTGTGATGATGTCTTGCTCTTAGATCCTGGAATCTGTAGTCAAGTCTATTCTACTATGTTCTAGGTATATGTGATTTTTTTGGTTTTGCAATTTTTTTTAGAATAATTTTTGTGATGCTACATATGTTTCTTATCAAGTGTGTTAGATCCTATGATTTTCCTACTTACACTGAATGATAGTGCTGACAATGATAGCAGTAAACTTACCTTGTGCTGTATGGTGAAATGTACACAGAAAGTTTCCAGGAACTTATGGTGTGTGAGTGGCATCCACCATGGTGTCTGTGTTGTCTCCTACCTGTGACTGTAATAAAGGATTGTTGAAGTTGAGTCCGGAACCTGGCATGATGGTGTGATGCAATCCCAGCACTCAGGAGGCAGAGACAGGAAGGCTGCTGTGCATCTGAGGCCAGGCTAGTGACAGAGGAAGACCCTGCTCTGTTTTTTTCTGCTTGTTAAGAGGAATGTGCTGGGTTTGGGATGAGGTAGTTGGTTCAAGGGGACACTGTGAGGGATTCTGTGCAATAAGGGGCTTACTTGAAGTCAGATGTGATAAATATGAGAAACAGAGAGGACACAGCATAGTGGGTGTTCCCAGGAGAGTTCAGGCCCCAGCACCAGAGAAGCTCAATTCAGGGATGTCTGGAGAGCATCAGGGACTCTGTGGGAGAAGAACAGACTCTTCTCATACTGTAGGATTGCAGGGGGTGAGGAGGAGGTAGGTTCACAGCAGGAGCCTGCAGCCAGGCTCTCAGATTTCCAGACATGTGACACAGGACAGGGTACCCTTTCATGAAAACTCACTTAGGTTTGTATGGTACTACTGGGGACTCATTTCCAATAGAGCTCCATCTTATCTCTATCAGTGATAGTTACAGAAGAGCATGTAGATTAGATTCTAGCAATATATTCTGGCAGAATATGCATCAGCCCACTCTAAACATCATGGTGCTTAAAGAACTAGAATACTGGGGCTGGAGAGATGGCTCAATAGTTAAGAGCACTGGCTGTTCTTCTAGAGGACCCAGGTTCAATTCCTAGCACCCACATGGCAGCTCTGTAAATTCAGATCTCCAGGATCTGACACCTTCACACCAATGCATATAAAATAAAGTTAAAATTAAAATAAAAAAAAGAATTAGAATACCTGGGTCCTATCGGTTATGAGCACTGACTGCTCCTCCGGAGGACACAGTTCAATTGCCAGCACCCACATGGCAGCTAACTGTAACTCAAGATCTGACACCCTCACACAGACATGCATACAGGCAAAACATCAATGCAAATAAAATTAAAATAAATATTTTTAAAAAATTAAAATGCCTGTATTATAAAATAACATATTTTTACTTTTAGCAAATTATAAATTCATTCAAGGAAAAAATATGTTCTAACTTCATCGTTGTAACATTCTGTTTGCTTAATATTTGTTCCATAATTGTGTTTCATGAGATAGCCTTTCCTCTGTGTGAAGTAAATGTCTATATGTACAGTGCACATGAGAATGACCCTCATTTGTGGCACTGTTCAACAACAGTGTGACCAGAGCTGTGCTCTCCTGGTCACCTTCATTCTTTTCTCTGAGGCTGGAGGCTCATGGCAAACCTGAGTACAATGTCATATCTTTGCACAGAGATGGGATGGAATGGTGTCTGCAGAGAAAGTTCATGAAGAGCTAGATGGTTGTTTTAATTCCCCAAAAAGCTGAGCCTCCTTTCCCAAGCCCCACTTAAAAAGCCCTTTTCCACCAGGTTCCCCCCTACCACTTTCTATCAGCTGGTTGCTGACTCAGCCTCCTGACTGAAGGTTAATTTTATCTAATCAAACAAATGTAACACATCTTTGCATCATTAAACAAATGTTCCAGAGCATAAACAAAAGTAACACATCTTATAACAATATTCTACCACAGTTTGAGAAATGGTAGCATCCTCATTATTCAAAATTCTTTTTATTTTATTTTGCTTTTATGTATACAGATGCTTTTGCCTGCACGTGCAAGGTCGGTCCTTGGTCATATTCATAACAGCAATGTGAAGTCCTTGTCTTGTGCTTCAGCTATATTGCATTACTGAGGACATACTGCAATAGGGTTGCTGGCTGGCAGGAGAGATTGATTGTGTTTCTAAGCTGGTGTCTATATATCTGGGTTTGGGATGGCTGTATTCTAGGTGCTAATACAGGGTCTTGTCTTTGTTGGGTGAGTGTTTTGTTCCTTGGTTTCTGTTGTCCTCTCTGGATCTTAGGAGAGTGTGTTGGGTTGGGGTTGCCTGGTAGGGAGTGCTTCTTAGTCTCTGCCAGGAGTGGCCACTGGGTGTCCCAGGTAGAGCTTGTTTCTAGGTACTGGGAGCTGGCTGGAAGGAATGGGGATGGACTAGAGGTTGGAGTTGGGGTGAGGGTGGGGGAATGAGGATGGGGGTGGGGATAGGGACAGCTGAGAGGGTCTACTGGAGGGAGGAAAGCTGGGTTTGCCACAAGGATCTTCTGAGTTTCCAGGGAATGACAATTGACATGCACTTGGAGTGCTCTAGGCCTGGGTTAAGACTGGGGAACCGGAAATGGAGAGCAGGAAGAAGAATGAAGACTGTTTACCTGATTCTCAGTCTATTTGGCCAGCTGGTTCCCAGATAGAGAGTGACTCTGAGTATTAGCGGCTGACACAAAAAGATAGAGTGAGGAAGGCTGGGCCTTGGAGGATATGGGGAGTCCCTGGGGAATAAGTGCAGAAAGGGAAGAGTGGCCAGCAGGAAATTAAGACTGAGGAGTAGGAATTGAGGGACAGGAAGGAGAGTGAAGATGGCCTCCCTGATTCCCAGTCCAGATGGCCAGCATGTTCCCAGGACAGGGGTCCCTCTGTTGTTGTTGGCTGAAACAAAGGGATGAGGGGAGGGTCAGGTCCTGAGAAATCCTTTTCCCAAAGTCTAGCATTTAGACAACAGCCTGCATTCCCTCAGGGACTTGAAGAAAGTTCCTACTTGCTAAAATGGGTCATTCTCCTATCTCTGGCAAAAAGGACATGTGTCTCTTTCATATATAGATGACTGCTGCGCCTATCAGCACACCAAAGTGCATGCTGGCCTCTGGGCCCTCTGGGAAAGTACCTGCTGCAGAGTCATCCTTGCTGGCATATCCTATTCTCTACCCTCAACCACTCCAGTCCAGGGGCTTCCCTTCCCTTCCCCCAGCTCTCTTTTCTGCATAATCCTGACATGTCAGCCATGGGCTCTCTTGGCCCCCTTGCCCTCTCTTCTCCTCTCTCTGTCTTCTCTTCCTCTCTTGCTCTCCCCCACCATTGCCTCTTTCTCCTCTCATGGCCCAGGCCAGTCTGCTGGCCATGTTCAGCCCACTCTTTTTCCTCCCAGCTCTGGATTCTCCCAGATGCCTGTGGCTGTCCTTTCCCCCGAATCTGCAACAAAATCCTTCCCCTCAACTGTACCTTGGAGCAGTCATTGTCCTCATTTTCATTCAGTGAGCACCATGTTTGGTTTTTAAGAAGGAGAATAACTGGATTATAAAGTCACAGATGTTTTTTTTAACAAGTTATAAATCAATTTTTATGTTTAATAAAGTATAAGTACTTAACTTCTGAAGTCTCAGGTGTTCTTTTTGTTTAACATTCCTTTCATAATTTAGTTTTATGGGAAATCCTTTCCTCTGTTTGACGTAAATGTCAATGTGTATCGTGCAGTTAGAATCACACCCATGAGTGGCACTTCTCAACACCAGTGTGACCATTGATGTGCTCACCTGGTCATCTTCAGCCTTGTCACTGAATTGGAAGTGTAAACCAGAAGAACAAAATTTCCTCTGTGCACAGAAGGAGGGTAAAATTGTGTTTGCAGAGAATTTCAATCTGACCTAGATGCGTGTCCATTTATTTTATCATTTTAATTTCTGCCCTTCCTGCAGGAGTCCAGAACCAGTGGGGTTCAGGTCCAAATAGGAGGTGTGAAGTAGGTGAGGGAAGGGGACTGACATGATCTGGGGGTGAATCAGGATGGCTCCCCATTCACAGAAAATAGGCTCCACTTTATATATTCTGTGATTGCATTATAGTTTAACCACAAGCAATAGTGAAAGCAAACAACGATTGTAAAATGAAAATGGTCATCAATGTCATTACAGCATTTTTCTTGAAGCAAATGGCAATAAATATATGGAGAGTCTAAATGCCTACTGTCCTCTAAGGTTCAGTGACCCCTCCAGTGTAGTGGATATCTGTTCTACCTATGACTTTGAAGTACAGCCCCGAGAGATGGTGCAGGTAACCGCTCTACCCACCTATGACCTTGAAGTACCTGTCCCTGCATGGCCTTGGGGCTACCATTAATACCTGGGACACACATTCTCCACCTCTTCTCTGCCTCCTGGTCTTGGATGGTGGGGACTGACTCAGGTGGCAGAACAGTGTGGGACTGTACCTCAGCCTTCCATGACCCTGCGACAATTCTCGTATTCTATTTAGTGCATTTTCTTTCCTAATAAATTCCTTTTACCCTTTAAACAGACCCCAGTGTATTTCTTGCTATACTCCAGGTGTCTCTTACACTTTCTCTTGCACAGGATCATCCTTTGTGATCAGGAGGGGTGTGGCCATCCAGTAAGCCACTAATTGTGGGCACGATTCTTTATTTATTAACTGAACTCTTGGCTTTAATGGCCTGAGGCTCTGGGACTGGGCCTGTTGCTTCTCACAAT